AGTATCTCCATTAAAGTTTAAAAACCTAATTAGCCTCCCCACCAAAAAAAAAAAAAGAGAAACAGACTCAGACATAGAAAACAAACTCATGGTTACTGGCCGGAGTTGGGGTAGGAAGGGGTTGGGGTGGTGGGTGGGGGAGGGGTAAATTAGGGATACAAAATAACATACATAAAACAGATAAACAGCAAGCCTGTAAGTGTGTAGCCAGGGCTGAGGACCACTGCATTTATGCAAACTCCTGAGGATCAAAACAGCTCTTTTAAAGGGCTCACAATCTTTTTTTTTTAAAGTCCATTCTAAGAGCCATCAAGCTCTCCATCCATTTTTTTTAAATAAAGTTTAGTTGGACCACAACCACACTCGTTCACGTACACACAGTCTATGGCAGCTTTTGCCCTTTAAGCTCTAGCTTAAAATCAATACCAAATTCACCAGTGTATAGTTTGAGGAATTTATGCTTACTCTTGAAAAATCAAGGCATCATTGTTTGTTTTTAATATTTGGACCTTCTCACCTATTATTCTCCTGGACTCTGTACCACTTCCCGTCATTACTTAAGAAAAACTGGCAATATTTTGTCAAGATCACCTATCCCAATTCTAAAAATTAGAAGTAATAGGTTTTATTCTGATGTATGAATGTATGTCATGGAAATCCTTTTAAGGTTGCCTATGATTGCATTTAATAATTGTTATGAACATGAGGTTATTGACCAAAATGAGTATGCATTGTACATGTTGACATATTTTCTGAGTAGACTGTGTGTAGCCCAGCTTCCTACCCAATTCTCTGAACTTGCCAGCTATTAAAACCTAAAATTATAATGACACATCATATTTGATATATAGCATTTACTATTTAGTACATACCATATGGTTTATACTAAGCAAGCACTATCTGTGAGGCAGATATCCCTACTGTTCCACGGTCTCCTGGGCGTTTTGAATCTCACATTGCAGGTGTTTCTGAAGTTTATGATGGGGGTCGGGGGAAGGGGAGTATAGCTCAGCAGTAGCCCTCGTGTTTGGTGGGCACATAGATCAGGGTTCAATCCCCAGCGCCTCTCTTAAGAGGAAAAAACAAAAACAAAAAACTAAAGATGTAAAAGAAGGAATGAAAAATTACAAGAAAAAAATAAGACAAAATTTAAAAATGAAGCTTATGATCAATGATCTACAGGAAATGTGCTCTAAAATAAATGTGTTTCACTGAAACTTTAGGCATGAAGAGTACGCAGGAAGACACTTGTAAGAATTCCACCCCACCCAACTTTCCCTAGACCATTCCCACACTGCACACGAATCTGAATTTTCGACATCATTCAGCACAATCTGCTGGTAGCGTGGCCTGAGCTTGATGATTATGTGTGTAATTATGACACGTGCCCTTCCACTCCAGGTGAATTAGAATTAGTGATGTTCCTCTATCCCCTGCAGTTAATACAGGCTTTCTTAGAGACTTGTTTTCCATTAGATGTTGATACATCCTAGAAATTGCCACAGCCAGAGAAACTGCATCAAAGCCTGGACCTGCCTCACTCCCAGACTTGCTCTGGTCCTGAGAGCTTGCAGGTTCAGAGGATGCAGCACTGACTGGCTGCTGCCAGTCCTCAGAAATGAAGTATGTAATCATGCTTCTTGCATGAAAGTCACTCTCATTTTGGTCAATAAGCCTGTGAAGAAAATGGAATCATTAACCAGAAGAGTAAAATCTGAGAAAGCATTTTAATGCATTTATTACATGAAATGCTTTCACTACTAGAAAGCCCTTTGATTGAAGGGTAGAAAACTGCTGAGAATTGACAAAGGCTGAATGATCTTCAGAGCTGCTCGTAACATTCTATCAGTTTGATCTGAATCACAAGTAATGAATGGCTGTACAGTGTGCCCCACACACAAATATACACAATTCATTAAGGAATATTTTGACAAGAAGATATATGAACCCATTTCAATTACCTTAAAGTCACAAATATTCGAGATACCCAACTACACATGCGCCTGGTCTCAGAGCGGCCGAGAGACCCGGCTCTCAGCTCCTCCTCAGCTGAACTGACATCTCATTTACCCAGCGGTGGTCCCTGCTTCCTGGTCTGTCAGGCTGTAACAGTCAACATCATTGCTGATTTCTGGAAATCTACTTCAAATGATCGCAAAGGGCTGTTGTACTTTCAGTGTCAAGTGTGTGTTTTTTGTGATCTAATTCTTTTCAAAAGCCGTCTATATCAATGGTGGCTCTGTGGTATACTTCTTTTAGCCAGAGTGTTAATTAACCAGAAGACCCCATTTTCACATGTAGCATAAAATAGTTTATTACATCAAGACACACACACAAAAAATAATTGTTCTGATTCCAGCTCTGAGCAGGGAAGATCATATTCTGTTCTTCCCCCTAGAGAATGTCCCACCTCTCAGCTAAGATGGTAGAGAAAGGATTTGACCTCAGCCCATCACTTCCGAGCAGGGAACATCCTGCTATGTTTCTTCTGTGTCCCACATCTCAGGTCAAAGTAGTAGAGGTGAGATTTGACACCGGCCAGATTGGCTCTAAAGCCCACATTATTTGCATTTCACGATAATATTTCAGACTATGTTTTAAATGTACGAAGGCTGCTTTCTAATTAAAATAAGGCTGAAAAATATTTTAATAAGCCAGTTAGTCACCTGATACCCTCTCTATTGGTCAACTCCAAAGTTAAATAGTCACCATATGACCCAGCAATTCCACTCCTAGGTATATACCCAAGAGAAGTAAAAGCATAAGTTCACACAAAAACTTGCACATTAATGTTCTTTCCAGCATTGTTCATAATAGCCAAACAGTGGAAACAACCCAAACATCCATCAACTGATGAATGAATAAACAGAATGTGGCATTTCCATCCAATGGAAATCAGCCATAAAAAGGAATGAAATTCTGATACATGCTACAACACAGATCAATCTTGAAAATGTATGCTAAGTGAAAGAAGCCTGACACCAAAGACCACAAACTTATGACTATATTTGTATGACATTTCTAGAAAAGGCAAATCCATAGAGACAAAAAGTAGACTAATGGCCGTCAGGAGCTGGGGGGATGGGGGTGGGGAAGAGGGAGTGATTGCTAATGGATACAGGGTTTCTTCGGAGGTGATGAAATAAATTGGACTGAATTGTGGTAACAGTTGCATAACTTCGCGAATATACTAAAAATCACTGAACTGTCAACTTTGAAAAGGTGAATATTATTGTATGTGAATTATATCTCAAATTTTAAGAAGGAGAAAGGCAGGAAGGGAGAGAGGAAACCCTAGGACTAAGTGGGAATACCAAGGAAGAAATAAACTTGGAACAGGGTGGGAAGAGGACTCCCCAAGGCTGGGATTCAATCCTGACTGGAGACAGTGTGGCTGCCGCCCACTGGGTGGCAGAGAAGTTGGCCAGGTCGCCCTGGGCCACAGGTGGTCTGTGAAACAAACCAAGACCACAGCCAGGAGCTGTGGGTCAGAGCTGGCAAGATGGAAACACCATGGGGGCCAGCAGGGCAAGGTGGTGGGAAGAAAACTGCCCACTGGGGTGCTCATGAAATTCACCAGAAAGCTGCCCTTGAGGGTGCTGCTGAATTTGTAGGAAGCTGGCAAGGGCACTGGCTGAACTCCCCAGGAAGCCACAAGGGTGCCACACACAGGAGGTGCCACTGGACTCATGGGGAAACCAGCCGGGGCATCCATGGCGGGGGCTGTCCCTGAGCCCAGCACAGCTAGGGCACCTGCCAAACTTACCATGAAGCTGCCTGCCAGGGTACCACTGAAAGTTGCTGGGGTAAGCTCCACTGGGTGTCTCACATGCCAGCCCAATACCACAGGAACAAGAAGAAGTAAAGTACAGGGAAACCAAGAAGAGACACCACTTCCTCCCCCATGGTCTCCCCAGCAACCTCTACCAATGAAGCTTAACTTTCTGCCAGCTGGCAAGGGGGCAATATTCCAGTACCACAATAAGGGTGACAAAGAGTGGATCTGGAGCTTAGAGGCAAGAGATTGATAATGAGCACAAATACTAATGGCTGTTCTTCAAAGAAAAGAGTTCCTGTTCAAGTGGGTTTGGAAAGCACAGCTTAACATACCACCCCCAAAATACACAGTAGTGTTTTAGCAGCACTAAGGTGTCCTACGGGGAAGAAACTCTACCGAACTCTCAGTGTAGTGCTTCCAAAACTCATCTGATCACAGAACTCTGTTTCTCTGGATAACTAACGCCCTGCAGAATTCTCACTGGGAAACTGCTCTGGGCGTGGTTTGGCGAGACTGGCACACAACATTCAGAGGAGGAGGGAGGCAGCGGTGCTGGAGAGCAGCCTGTGTGTGTTCGCTGAGTCACAAGGAGCCCGTCTGCTGTTTAAGGGACTCCTCTGGAACAGAATGCACACAAATGGAGTCATCTGGCTGGGCTCCTTCGTGGCATTTCCATTGCTTTATTTACTGCACAAAACCCATAAGCTCTGCAGACACTCTGCAGCTCTGGAAATACAGTTTATTTAGGTAACTAAAAATACCCTCCAAATGGCATTTGGCCATTGCTGCATTTCCCAACTCCTCCTGCTTGCTCAATGTCTGTTCTAAATTACCCCTTGATGGTACTATGGAAAGAGAATGGGATTTAAAAGCTGGAATTGATGGTATTAAGGTCAGGGGCCTTGGAATGCTATAATCCTGCCTGGCTACTCACCTCATTTTCCCTTTTGGGGTTCTGGAGGGTACTAGAAACAAAAATAATGGGTATGAATCAACACTGTTTATTATCTGCCCACTGGAAAGGACAGAATGCAGTTAGGGAAAAAATGAGCATTGCTGAGCTGCGTGGAGAGAGAGCCCCTGTATCATTCAGCCTTGGGTTCAAAACCCAGTCCCATCTCACTTCTGGAGGGAGGAGAGGCAAAAATAATTTTCCCTCCACCCTTTGTTTTCATCTGTGGCCCCTGTAACCAAGTCAGATTAGCAAGAGAAAAACAAACAGATTTATTAATATGTATACCTCATGTATACATGGGAGAGGCCTAGGGGAAAATGAGTAACTCACAGAGCTGGCTGAAAATTTAGGCTTAAATACCATCTTTAGCTAAGACAAAACAGAAGGGTGCGGTGGGAAGTGCGTTACGGGGAAGTAACAGAAAAATATAGTGAACAAGAGTAAGCAGATTTAAGCCTGTGCCTTTTCCATTGACAAGGGGACGTAAGTGGCAATTCAAGCTACCAAGAAGATTCAGATCATCTACATAAAATGCACAGAATCCAAGCCTTCTCTTGGATTACTTGCTCTGGGAGAAGCCAGCTACCATACTATAAGCTGGCCTATGGAAAGACTGATGTCATGAACTGAGGGAGGTTTCTGACCAATAGCAATGAGTATCTAAGACCTTCTGATAACAGCCACACGAGCGTACCATCTTGGAAGCAAATCCTCCAGCCTCAGTCAAGTCATCAAATGACTGAAGTCTAGGTGGACAGCTTGGCTACAACCTCTCGAGAGACCCTGAGCCAGAACTACTGGCCAAACTACTTCCATATTCCAGACCCTCAGAAACTATGTGATGATAAATTTTTGTTGTTTTAAGTCACTAAATTTGGGGGCAATCTGTTATACAGCAATAGATAACTGAGATTCTTCAACTGTAATTCTGAGTAAATGATTCTGAACCCTGGGATCCCATCTCATTTTTAAACACACACACACACACACACACACACAAATAGCCTTGAATAAAATTCTCTGGTCATGGTATCTGGTGAAATCAGGATTAAGATCTCCAAATTCTATTATATCACAACTGCATTCTTTGCATTTAGTCCCACATTCATTCCTTCAGCAAACATTATCAAGCATTTATTATGTTCCAGGCAATGTTCTAGACCCTGAGGATACAGCACAGCTTACCAAGACAGACAAAAACCTCTGCCCTCGTGGGATTTACACACATGTGCAGGAGAAACAAACAACAATATATAGATTGTTCAGTAGTAATAAGCACTAAGGAGGTAGAACAAAGCAGTGACTCCAGTGAATCAGACTTCACTTCTGGCTCTCAAAATAGTACAGGGCAGTTTCCCTCCATGTGGTGATGCAGAGACAGGCTCCTTCCATCTCTGGTCCTTCTGGCTTCACCTTCACAGGGCTAAAGAGTCCCCTGAAGATGACCAGCAGATGAGGAAGGTCAGGGAGGAGAAGGTACACTCGTTTCTCCATCACCTCCAAGCAAGAGTGGACACATCCTTTCCACTCACAAACCTTAACACCCCTGAGATGCAAGGCAATCTGGGAAATGTAGCCCCAACAATAGCCCTTTGGTACAAAGGGGAAAAGAGGCTCTAGTAGGAAGCCATGTTTCTCTACTACAGTCTCACTGATTTATTCCAGCTCTGCCTGTTCTACCTGCTGGGCCAGACTGAAGCCCAGGCACAGCCATGCCAAGAGGGAAAAATGTCTCCCACCTAGTTATCGAAAATCCCATCACAAGAAATTCAATTCTTATTCTGAGTCATTTCCCATTTCAACATCTTGCCAAAAATGCAGTCACCTGTAGTGATGAATGGAGTTCTCAATTCTTAGAGAAGCTTACTGAATTTTCTTTTCCATTCCCTGAGATAAGTACCAGCTTAGCTGATAACTCTGCGAGTTTTAGTGAGGGAAGAGAAGGAAGGCAGAGTGGGCACGTGCCAATAACCACTCACAGCTTTGCTAGGAGTGAGTGGTTGGGTTCTCTGTCACCAACTTGCAACTACTCGTGGCATCATCTTAACTGCTTATCCACAGCTACTCTTCCAAGTCAAGGGAACACTAAACAAATGCATTTAGCTGTATATAGTCCTTCTCCACGAGGAAAGAAAGGCCCAGTTAATTGCACGAGCAGCTAAGTGTCAGGAATAATCACTAAGATGAGAGTGGTTCATCAAAGCAAGTCAGGAAAAAAGTCTATTTAAAAGCTAAATGGGGTTCTAAAAAGCAGACCCTGAAAAGAGTGATATCCGGGCTGAGTTTACTTTAATGCAAAGATCCATTCTTTCCTCTCATTACCTATGATTATTTTATACAAATTGTATTACATTGGTCCCCTAGGAAACACAGGTGTAAGATTCATTTCCACTTCCAAAGACTGAAAATGACTTTGGAGGGACTGAACTGAAATATTTTTTTTTAAATTCTTTAAACCTTCATATGATCTGGAAGTACAAAACAATTTACCAACTTCCCCTTGGAAAGGTAAATCAGCAGCATATTTCTATAAAAGTGAATTAATTTGTTAACCCATAAGAATTAAAAAAAAAACACCCTGGGTTTTTACTAGCAATCACATCTGTTCCAGTTCTGTCTTGGGAACTGAATGTGTAAAATGTCACTACACAGACAGGATGCTGCAGTCACTTTAACCCAGAAGACACGAGAATATATGCTGGTCTCGGTGTTTCTGTCTGTGACATTAGAATCAGACACTGTGTGAGGACAATACTCTCATCCCAATGAGGCTTCTTAAAGCCATTTGAGGGCTCTTGGTTGGAAACCATTTTGCAGCTTGGTCAGGAATGTATTTACCACTGACAAAGGCTTCAAGAGGGGATATCCCTAAAGGATAAAGCCGATTCTCTTTAGGTAACTCAAAAACCATCTTTGAAGCTGTATTCATTTTCTAGGACTGCTGTTACAAAGTACTACATACTTGGTGGCTTTAAACAGCAGAAGTGTCTTCTCTTCCAGTTCTGGAGGCTAAAAGTTCAAAATCAAGATGTTAGCGAGGCCATGCTCCAATGCCAAAGTCTGTAGGGGAGAATCCTTCCCTGCCTCTACGAGTTTCTAGCAGCCCCAGGTGTTCCTCGGTTTCTGGCGGCATCACTCCAATCTCTGCCGCCATCTTCCCCTGGCCATCTCCTCCCTGTGTGTCTTTTGTCTTTGTGTTTCCCCCTTCTTACGGGCTGCGCTAAGGACCTCATCTTAACTTCATTACATCCACAAAGACCCTATATCCACATATTCCAAACCCTATTTCCTCACATTAACAGGTACCAGGGATTAGGACTTCAAACTATCTTTTCAGGGGAACACAATTCAATTCAATAGAAAGTACTCCAGAGAAGGGGTTCAAAGCCACGTTGAAAGATCATAAAGCCCTCCAAGCTACTGTGCAAAGTAACATTTGCAGAGCCTGGAAGCCATAATACAGACGGAGGGCCACATTCCATAATCCTAAAGAAACAGAACTTACAAACCAAACTAAAGCAACAGCCCGGCCCACGTTCCCACCCAACACCCGCTAGCCTGGGGGCCATCGTTACCTCAGAGAGCTGACGGAGCCGAGTCTAGAGGACAGAATGGTTCTCATGGGGTAGCCAGTGGGGGAAGCCAGACCCAGGTCTGACCAGCGGACCTGCCGCAACTCGACTGATCCAGCTCGTCAAGGAGCCAGGAGGCAGTTTTAAGCACTTCCCAAAACTCCACCAGCTGAGCAGAAGGGAAGGGGGGAACGCAGTTACCTGGGAAACCCTGATTGCTTAATCACCCACAGGAGGGCCATCAACTTGAAAGGAGAGCAGCCACTCTTCTTCAGGTTTCCTGGGGCAGAGGCAGCATTTCCCACACACTTACGGGCTCTCAGCCTCCCATTCTCTGGCTGGGGTTTGGAGCGGTGGGGGTTGTGGTCTTTCCGGCCTAAGGGGCCTGGGTTGGTTAATGCATCTCTCTCTCATAATTCCCAGTAACTTAATCAGTGATCACAATTTTTAAAATGCTCCTAAAACTGTAAAATTCATCAAACTTTTTGCAACTTTGAAATTTTATAAATTCAAAAAAAATTCCAAAAGTCATCGCCTTTCATTGTTTACGATGTGTGGGGCCCAGAGCAGGGGCCCCTCATGTCCTAGTCTCAGCACAGCACAGATGCTGGATTGTTATGCATTTGTTTAAAAGAAGTATCCTGTGGGGGGAGGGGGGGACGGCTCAGTGACAGAGCATGTACTTAGCATGCATGAGGTCCTGGGTTCAATCCCCAGTGCCTCCATCAAAAAAGTAATAATAAAATAAAATAAATTTTTAAAAAAAGAAAAAAGAAGCATCCTTATTCCTTTATAAGCCCACAGGGAGGTACAATTCCTGCAAGGCACCTACTTGGAGGAAAGGCTGCCCACACCCACCTCACCACTAGAGGGCGAGGTGGTTACAGAGGCAGGTCTGACCCCACCCAACTGCCACTAGCCAACCCAGCCAGGTTCTCCAAAGTATCTAAACGCAAGACACCTGGGTTCCACTTGATTCCTGGGCAGGGCAATTCAGGTTGAAACACGTGAGTAGGGGCAGGAACGTTCAGACTGGGCCAGGTGGTGAGGTTGTGAAATCTGAAGTTGATAGGAATTATCTTTGCAGGGACTTGCAGTTTTCCTTGGTTTCTCTTCTAACCAGCCCCACCATCCTGATTTCTGCTCCCAAACACATTTCTTCTTCCCTAATTCCCACCCCCTCTTCCTAGGCCTAAAGGCCTGTCGGGTTTGCCACCTCCTAATAGGAAAAGTAACGCTGTCTGATAAACACGTTTGTACTGACTTGTTATCAAATTTACACATTATTCTTTTCGAGGTTATTGGCTTTTAAAATGGAACGTGGGGAAAGGGGCAGTGCTTAACGCAAAGGGAAAACTCTGGTAATTGAATTGCAGACGTCAGCATAAAAGATGTATTATGTTTATACTGGAAATTTTCCGAGCGCTTCTCCCTTTCTATTACATAAATCATTACCTCCTTCACTGAAGCTAAAGCCTGTCCTTGTTTTATTATTATTATTTCAGCATTTGCATAAAATATTAACTGATTATCATATAAGCTTGAATTTACTAGGCTCAGACAATAAGCCGTTCTAAAACTGGAACTCCTTAGAGGAAATTGTATCTCTTTAATGACAACCACAAAATGTTACCTAATGAACACAGTGGAGGGTGTAAGAGCAGAAGCAACAGTTCTCATCTAATAAACCTTGCATTACTAGTTTACACTCGGACATCTGATCCTGAGAGCAACCCTGTGCAAGGTATGCTGGATAGATAGCATGATCTGTTATTCCCATTTTACAGAAAAGGAAATTGAGGCCCAGGGAACTTAAGTGTCTCGCCCAAGTTCATATAGCTAAGTGAGGGGAAGAGGAAGGGTAGGGCTCAGACTGGTCTTTTCACTTCAAGCCTGGGAGAACTCTACTACCACACAGATATTAAGGGAGAAATGAGGAAATATGACGTCAATAGGTAACTCTAAAAAAGTAGGCATCATGATGTGAGCATTGTAGACAGGATTTTCAGAGAGCTAATATAATAATATCTCACAAAGAAACTGAGGTATCCTCTTGAACTTTATCTGAAAGGGAAGTCCAGTTACAATAAACTTACAAACCAGAAGAGCTCAAAAAATTCTCCAGCTTTGCTAGTGAAAATAGATCTGTCCTCAAGTGGCACAGACCATGTCCTCCTTTCTTAACTCAAAGTACTCCAGGATGATCAGGAAAAAATGCATCTGCAATCTGATTACTTTTTTATAAAAGAAAGAAAACCAAAAAGAAATGTCAGAGTACCTTGCTGGGAGTCCTTTATAGAGTAGTTCCTCTTAGAGATGGAAAATGAGAAGAACTGTCGTTTGACATACATTAGCTGAGACCAGGCACCAGTGGAACTCTGCTCCTCCTGAAACGTATGCATCACCTGCAGTGCCCTCAGCCACATGATTAGAGTCTGTGGTAGATAGACTGGTTGCACCAATTCTCCCCCATCCTTGTCTCCACAACTTCAGTCACGTGATTTTGTAGTTCACTCACTTAAGATGCAGAGTCTCCTTCCTCACCCGCTTCAGTCTGAGCTCACCCAGGAGCTTTGGCCAATAGATGAGGCCTAGACCACAAGAGGTCTTGCATGTTCCCACTTGCTCTGAAATTACTGTGAGAACATGCCCAGGATACCCTGCAGGAAGATGAAAGACATGCGGAACACGGCCATAGTCAGCCTGGCTGAGGCTAAATCAGCCTAAATCAGCCAATAGCCTGCAGACCCCCAGACAAGACAGCAAGGCCCCAGAACTCTCAGACAAAGGAATGAGCCAAGTCATGATCGGCCAAGCCTAGCCAATAGGAACCTACAGCCAGCCAAGCCCCAATATGTGAGTGAGCCCAGCCAAGAGCAGCGGAGACACCTACCTTACCACCCTAGATGTGTGAGCAGCAGATCTTATTGTTGCTTAAAGACTAAGGTTTCGGTGGTTGTTTGTCATATAGCATTATTGGAGTACTAGATAACTGATATAGAGTCCTAGCTTTTGGGCTCCACGCTTGTCAGAGGAGCGTCTAGAAAGCCAAAGACAGTTTCATGATACCTGACCACTCAACAGTTTCATGGGGCACCCAACCAATCCATTTCTTGTAGCATCTTCCCTTTGTCCCTGAAAGGATGCAAACACAAACAAGTGGACAAGTCTGCAGGTAACCTCCCTTGGTATCTTTCATGAGTAGACCAGCCCTGACCACATGAATCATGTAGAAACAGAAGAATGAGGAAAGTCTATACCTGTTAAAGATACTTGGTATCTTGGCACAGCACAGTTTCATTTATGTAAAAAATTATAATAAAATATGTACATATGCACAGAAAAGGGCCTCAAACGTTACATACTGAGGCTCCAAAAAGGTTTCTTCCTAGGAGGCTAGGTGGGATTACAGGTTAATGTTCTTCTTTTCCCTGTCCCTAATATCTGATTTTCCTGAAATGAACATGAATTTGTTTGTAATTTTAAAGAGAAATATAAACCATGAAAGAAACAATAAAACTTGACAAGGGGGAAGGGTATAGCTCAAGTGGTAGAGCACATGCTTAGCATGCACGAGGTCCTGGATTCAATCCCCAGTATCTCCTCTAAAAATAAAAGAAATAAATAAACCTAATTACCTCTCCCCTCCAAAAAAAATCCTAAATAAATAAATCACTCTTAAAAAAAAAAAAACTAAAAAAAAATTGACAAGAAAAAGAACAAATATTTAAATTTATTTTTGGAGGTTGAGCAAGTTATTATTATCAGTTATAGTTTATTTTAAGTTAATTATGCAGAATTGTTGGAAGAAAATTAGGTAAGATTTTAAATCAGGGGGCAATTCTGAAAAACAGACAAAATTACTTGCAGACATATAAATAGTTGCCAGGTGCACTCAAATTAGCAATGCTCTTAAAAAAAAAAAACAGACTGGGTATAAGCATTTGCCAATAAATCTCTACCTAGAACAAGGAGTGAGCAAATTTTTTCTGTAAAGGGCCTATTAGGAAATATTTGAGGCTCTGTGGGCCAGACTGACTGTTAAAACTACTCTATCATTTTTCGTTTGGATTTTAAGTGGTGGTACTGAGGATTGGGCCCAGGACTTTGCGCATGCTAAGCACATGCTCTACTACTGAGCTCTACCCTCCCCACCTACTCTGCCATTGTTGCACAAAAAGTGGCCACACTCGGTGGCTCACAGCGAAAGAGAATGTGACAATGAATGTATGTATGTTCATGTATAATTGGAAAATTGTGCTCTACACTGGAATTTGACACAACATTATAAAATGACTATAACTCAATAAAAAAAAGTTTAAATAAAAAAAATTAGTTGCAAGATAGCATTTATTACCAGTGACTGAAATCACTTTCTCCTACATTAATCATCTCTATTAACATTACCAAATTATGCATTTTGATAAAAATAAACTTGGAGAAAAATGAGACCCAAAACCTTATAATTAACATATATCACACAAGAAAATACTTCTTTTTACTGTGTATAAAATTGGATACAAAATATTGTTTGTAATTTTTATTGCATTTCATAATTTCATAACTAAGAAAATAAAGTCGAGAAAAAACTAAAAAAAAAAAAAAGTGGCCACACTCTGAATGAATGGGCATGAATGTGTCCCAATAAAACATTATTCATAAAAGCAGGTAGCAGGCTGGATTTGGCCCACCACCATAGTTTGCCTACCTTTGGTGTAGACAAACTAGACAAACTGCTTCTGTAACAGTAGTAGCTAATGATTGTATTCACAATAACTTACTACGTCAGAGTGATGAAGTGTTCTCTGCACCCAGTCCACTTGTGCCTGCTGTCAAGTCCTTTTGCTTCTTCCTGTCTCAGCCTCCTCTTCAAGAAGCCTGAGACAGCTTGTCTTAGAAGGATGTTCTAATCACCCATTTACTTGTCCTTCTCCTCCATTTGGCTAACAGCACCTACCAGTAATTACGATTATGTATAAATCACTTTTATATCCCCAGAGCCTGTGGAGAACCTGGACCACGGTAGATGCTCAATAAATGAAAGTGAATGAGTCAACAAGACAACAGTCACATCAAGAGAATGAGAAGACAAGCCACAAACTGGGAGAAAATATTTGCAAAAGACGTCTCTGATAAAAGACTGTTACCCAAAATATACAAAGAACTCTTGAAACGCAACAATAAGAAAAATGAACCACGCAATTAAAAAATGGCCAAAAGATCTGAACAGACACCTCACCAAAGAAGACACACAGATGGCAAATAAGCACATGAAAAGATGTTCAACCTCATATGTCTTTAGGGAATTGCAAATTAAAATAACAGTGAGATACCACTACACACCTAAAATCCAGAACACCAACCACACCAAATGCTAGTGAGGAAGTGAAGCAACAGGAACTCTCATTTATTACTGGTGGACATGCAAAAATGGTACAGCCACTTGGAAGACAGTTTGGCAGTTTCTTACAAAACTAAACATGCTCTCTAAACAATCCAGCAATTGTACTCCTTGGTATTGGCCCAAAGTATGTGAAAATTTATGTCTACAAAAAACTTGCATACAGATGTTTATAGCAGCTTTATTCATAACTGTCAAAACTTGGAAGCAACCAAGCTATCCTTCAGTAGGTGAATGGATAAACTGTGGAATATCCAAATAATGGAATATTATTCAGCACTAAAAAGAAATGAGCTATCAAGCCATGGAAAGATATGGAGAAATCTTAAATGTGTATCACTAAGTGAAGGAAGCCAGTCTGAAAAGGCTACATCCTGTATGATTCCAACTCTATGACATTCTGAAGAAGGCAAAACTATGGAGGCAGTAAAAAGATCAGTGGTTGCCAGGGGTTGGGGTCAAGGGGGAGGGATGAATAGGTAGAACACAGAATTTTTAGGGCAGTGAAAATACTCTATATGATATTACGATAATGAACACATGTCATGATACGTTTGCCAAAATCGATAGAATGTAGAACACCAAGAGTGAACTGTAATGTAAACTATGGACTTTGGGTGGGATGATGTGTCTGTGCAGGTTCATAGATTGTAACAAGTGGACCCCTTTGGTGGGGGATGTTGATAGTGGGGGAGGCTGGGCATGTGTGGGGCAAGGGGTATATAGGAGATCTCTGTATTTTCCACTCAATTTTGCTGTGAACCTAAAACTCCTCTAAAAATAAAGTCTACTTTCAAAAGACAAACACAATCACATCATTATTGCAAGTGCTTACTCAGCCTCTTCTATGTTCTGTAGCAGACATTAAAAGCTAACTACCTGTAGGCAATGGTTTCTTAGATCGGACACCAAAAGCACAAATGACAAAAGGAAAAAAAAAAAGATAAACTGACTTCATGAAAATTAAAAACTTTTCAACTGCAAATCAAGAAAGTCAAAAGACAATCTATGGAACTAGAGAATATTTTTTACAAATCATGTATCTAATAAGGGACTAGCATCTAGAATAGGTAAAGAACTCTTACAACTCAATAATAGAAAGGCAAATATGTCCATTTTAAAGTGAGGAAAGGATTCAAATAGACATTTCTCCAAAGGTGTACAAGTACGTATTTTCTAGTGTAAGAGCGAAATATTGCAATAATAAGAATGACTGTTAATACTAATTTTCTGTTAAAAAGCAATTATTAAAACCTTTCAAATAATTAAATAGGGAAAGAGACTGACAATAAAACTCACTACTGAGAGAATGCATTAAGTGGATACATTTAGGAAAAACCTTGTAATTGTTTATCCCCACCAATGTTATACAGTCTTAATAATAATTATATTACATGTAATTCTAATTTTTGCAGAATTGTTCGATGGCCATTCAGTCATAACATTAAACAAAATAAGCTTTAAGAACCGAACTTAATTTTTTGTTATTTAAACGACTCGAATCATTGCAGAAATAAAAACACAGTGGGGAACTTCCAGGCCAATTTCTGCATGAAAGCTTGACACCGTAGAGGCAAGTGGAAAAGCAAAGCTTCAAGCTTCTTTATTCCTTTGGCCGCTAATTAATTACTAATACAAACACTTGCCCACAATTCCATGACCATTCTAGCCCAGAGGAACTGAGCCAGAGTTCAGGGCACAGAGAAAGGGGATCTCACAGTGGGGTAGGACCTGACTGTCTCTCCCTCCCCCTATACACCACCACCAAACCTCTGTGAACTGCTTTGATCTGAGCCAGAGCAAGAGAGGGAACACGTCCCAAATATTAAATCAAGATTGGAGGAGCCAACTCTAGGGGACAATCATCAACTTAAAATTTGAGATATTTTTTAAATATTTGAAATTAAATTTACCAGCTGTAATCCCTTTTCAGCCATCTGTAATCCTTCTTAGATGAAGATAGGTGTTTAAATTGATAAATAAAATTAAAATTTCCCTTAGATATATATTATTAAAGTGTTAGAAATGACAATGTCAAAAGTTTAACTTTTCCTACCCGCTTCATAATTTGTGGGTTCCACTTTGCAACAGATATCCACTAATTTTTGTCAATCTCCATAGCAAAGTGAATAAACACAGAATTGCAAAAAAAAAAAATTTTTTTTAAAAAGCACTCCGTTGTTTTTTCCAAGTCTGTCTCCAAAGTCCTTTTATTTAAACAAAAGAAGAATTCATTTCCTTTCAAAAACATGGCACTTTGAATATTCAAAAATAGGGAATGAAAAAGTTATTCTAGATCCAGTCAACCAACAGCCAGGTTTTGTTTCCAGCTAATTAAAAAGGAGAAAAGAATCTGGTTTCTATTCCATTATAATTGTGTTCCTTTCAACAACAGGGTGATAAGCTAAGGGATCAAGACAAAATGTTATTACTTAATTCTAATAGTTTCAATCCTTCCAAATGTATTTGATTCTATTCTGTACATTTCCTAAAGTGTTTGCCTTAATCCCAACATGTGAACTTTATTATTGGGAACTTTATAATTCCTAAAGCATTGGTTTCTGGCTTAAGTATGCATTTTGCAAATGTATTTTGTCCATATTAACTAGAAAAGAAAAAATGATCCTATTCCAATCACTTAGGACAGTAACAAAAGAATATACAAAGATGCTCTTAGGAAAACTTGTCAAAGACTTGGAAATGGGCAAAAGATTACTGAATGTCCTTTCAGTGGAGTGCCGGGTATTTTCCAGCCAACCTTCCTAGGATTATCTAATTCTATAGAGGTGTGCACCTTTGATTGAAAAGTTATGAGGTGAAATTCATGTTGATAATATATTTTACTGAACTCAATATATCTAAAATATCATTTCAACAAGTGATCAACTTTTAAAATGCTGAGATATTTTGTATTTTTTTTATATATTAAGTCTTCAAAATCTAGTGTGTAGTATTTTACATTTACAGCCCATGTCAGTGTATACTAGCCACAACTCCAGTGCTCAATAGCCCATTATGGTTAGTGGCTACCATATTGGATGGTGCCGCTGTAGTTTTTCTTTGTCTGCATAGGTCTGGATGGTTCAACTACTACATCTTCCCATGCAACTATTTGCTAAAACCCTTTTGGCATTAACACTAGATACTTCTTCAGCACCTACTATGTGCCTGGCTGTTCACTGATTACCAGGACTAGTATAAAAACTGGTAATGGATGTCCCCTGCCCTCAAAGAGTACTGGAGATAAGACACATAAACATTAACAAATTAAAAAACAAGACATTATATAAATGAATTCTTGACTTTAGTGGATAGTAGAGAAGCAAAAAAATCATACAGATAAGCACAGTCAAGAAGGAGATCTGGAAGAGAAGAAAGGAGTCAAGGATATTCAAGGCTTAATAAACAGGATGAGAAAGGAAAGGGATAAGTCAAAGCCTAGACAAAGCAAGAAGTTAACTGGCCTGATTTTATCAAAGACTTCATTTGGTTCAGATCATGGTTTTCATAATATATGCTTGCTCTCTGGTGGATACATTAAAATAATTTTAAAAGGAAAACACATTTTACATGTTATATGTTATATAATCTCAACTCTGTTCTAAAAATGCATTTGAAAAGACAGCAAGGGGGTAAGGGTGGAGCTCAGTGGTAGAGCGCACGCTTAGCATGCATGAGGTCCTGGGTTCAGTTCTCAGTACCTCCATTAAGAAAAAAAGAAAAGAAAAGACAGCAAGGAAACACCCCAAAATGGCCACTGGATAACTGGATTGATTATGGTGAGGTAGCGGATGATCCTGCTTCTTTGCAGTTGGTTCTACCTTTCACTTTTTTCAATAATCATGTGATATTTTTATAATTAGAAAAAAACATAGATT